TCCTTTATAAGATAAAATAGAATCTATTTTATATTAAGCAATTCATGAATCGATTTACCTTCAAAATATCCCATATTCATATCTTCAGAATACTTCTCGATATGAATTCCATCCAAAAACTCAGAAAAACTCTTCCAAATTAGTCGAAAACCCAAAACATTACGCCCACAAATAATGAGACACATCCTTATGTAGGATTTCATTTTTTATCCATTCGAAAGCCGCGAATAACTCACACGAAATTCAAAGACTCCATATAAATATTTATTTTCTACCATGAATCCACCAACTCAACTAAGGGAAGGCAGAAACAGAGAAATTCACCACAACGAAATCGAAAAGACTCTCAAACCTAGAAAATCTATTTCATAATTCAAACGATTGCCGACATCAACCGTGGTGAGAATTTCCCAATCTACTCGGGAGATCATCCTAGCAAGAAACGTTATCATAACCAATAAGAATGCGTGAGAAGCGTCTGCTCTCAGCCTCTCCTGGGCTCGGCACTACTCCCGCATGGCATGGAGAGAATATTTTGCCTATATATAAGAACTAGACACTCCTTGGCTTTTCTCGGCAGCAACCTTAACTTCCCCATTCTTGAAGAAGAAATTATCTCAAAATGCAAAGCTGCCGCTGTCATTTTGCCCGAACTACAAATCTGCTTCTTGCTTTACTGACCCTATTGATCTCGTGTGTTCTCTCGCTTGATTTCCCCCACTTCCCATCTCTCTTCTTTTCCCCACTTCTCCCATTTCCTCGATTCGTTTGCATAATGAAATCACAGTATCTAAAGTGCGAGCGCGACGTCTCGTCTTGAAAAGCCCGGGCAAGATGACAATGGTCCAGTGGTCAAGAGTCAAGCTCGCCCCAACGACAAATCTGAAAGAAGAACCCATGGTGTGATTCTGGCTCCAGCCACAAGTCTACCTCAAGGACAGCCCGGTTTGAGGCAGATCAAGTAGCTCTTCCGGGCCACCAAATGGGCGAATGAGGCAAGTGGGCAACGTCGATTAGCTCTTCCGGAAAAGCAAGTGGGGCAAGTGGGGCAATGTGAATTAGTGGTGGCCGCGGGCGCCCGCAGTGGAATGAGGATCATTTCGTCAACAAATTTGCCTATGTCTCGTCCCAAACTCGACGCAAAAGCACGGTGATTAGCCGCTCACTCGTCTAGATATCTGGGTCAACACTCATGAGAAAGTGTCGTCATGAGAGGTCCATTGATGATCACCAAAGCTTTCGATTCCTGCCTGTTAAACCTACTCCAAGGTCTCGATCTTTTTGGTTTTCTTTGCTTTCTGGTTTCTATTCTCGATAGCATTCAGCATACCGAAGATGTGCTCCCCCCCCCCAATGGTCATTCACTAACGACGGAGGCACGGAGTTGCCTTGATTCTTTAAGGTCACGCACGCACCTGCAAGCTACACCCCTTTGAGCACTCTCCACTCGCCGCTTTTATGTCCTGGGCTCTACCAAGAGACTGCCCTTCCTAGTGCTGCATCTGCTACATGACTACTGTTCAGTCGCGCCGACCGGACACAAGCTTATCACAGCCAAGTACTGCTGCGGAGATGGTTGGGCACCAGATGTTTGGACATGTTTTAGGACTTCTCTAGGCTTGGTCCGGTACTCGTGCAAACTCACCCAAAACAGAAGCATGACCGACTCATGTGGGCTCTTTGCCGAAGGACAAAGTGACGCAAAGCATACTTCTTCTGTCTGGGCATGGAGAAAGTACCGGGGCTTAGCCCCAAAAACATTGCCACCAAGGCCTCACGTTCGCGAGGCCTCCGGCGTGTTGCTGTTTCCACTGTGCGTTCTACGTATGCACAACCCCCCCGCTGCTCTTTACACGAGCGTCACATGGAGAATGTGTCACTGCGCAGGTCGAAGCCATCGTCAGAGAGGAGGCTGAAGGCCTATGAAATTGTCCCGCAACCTAACCCGCAACCTAACCCGCAAAGCTATCAAGGATCCATCATCACCTACTCCGTAAAATCATGTGCCACATGCAAGACAGCCCCTGCCTGCGGCACAAAGTTCATAAAATCGCTGAACTCCGCGCAGTCTGACGACATATACGCGGCTTCGGAGCCTAATTCCCCAGTTTCACCAGCTTGAAGCGCATTGTCATCAGCTTCGTCTTTGGAGGCTGCCGCTGCTGCGTCCTCACCGCAATCTCAACACTTTCAACAATACCTGTGCAAGACTCATGTTAAGTCGCAACCCATCATTGCCACCCGCTATGCAGATTGAGAAGCACAAGTCCTTGTACCTGTGCATGCGGGTTGCGATCTCTGCAACTTGTTTCTGCTGCAAACCTTCCGATGCCAATGGCGAGAACGGCAAAGCCAACACATTCAGCAGATTCTGGTAGGCCTGAAAGCAATCGAAAGCTTGGAGCTGCATACTGAACCAATCACCGTGTCGCGATATGAAGTTGTGCTATCTCTTGCTTATGAAAGCCACGAAGTACTCACTCGATCTCACTCGTAAGCATGACGGTCTTTTTTGAAGTCTTCTTCAGCAAAGGCGCATTCAGCAGTTTCCGGGAATCAGAGGGACCATGAAGTGGCCGATCGCTATCCATGCTGGACACGCGTGCTAGATAGGTATCGTCCATCTCCAAGCTCTCCAAGCTCGGGAAGTCGAAGTGCGAGTCCGCGATTACCGAGACCAGCTCAAGGCACCGACCACTCGGTGAGGGAGCATTGGCGCTCCTCTCTCAGCCCAATGTGCACTTTAAGTCAGGCGCCAAGCAACGATACAGTCTGATCTTTACCAAGAGGCATGTCATCTCTAACATCCAAATAGTACGGAAATCCGTGCTCAACGCAAGCCCAGGTTCAGCAAGATTTTGGCAAAGCTGCTATCCCGAAACATGCCCCTGAAGAGCAAGATGACGAGGTAGTAGGCAAATGGCTTCCTAAGTGACCAGAATTCCTCGTGATTAGCACCCTACGCTTATCCTTTGTATGCTTGGCACCGCTACATGGCCACCTACGAGCTTCGCGCAGATCCTTCTGCTCGGGTCCTACAGAAAGCCGCAAAGCGTGGTTGTATCAGAGTTCGGGGTTAGGGTGGCCTGCGCGGTTCTGATTCTTCTAGTTTGGCCAGACCAGGTGGTTTTTGAGCTTGTGACCATCTTGTTTGCTCTCGCAAATAACTCGGCAAATAAGATTTGCCTCGGCTTCCGGCCGAAAGGCGTCCAGAATCTGGATTTCCCCCCCCCCCCCCACCCCCCGATGTTGGAGGAGCCGCAATGCGATGCCGCGGCCCCTGCAACCCCCCTCTGTGGAGCTGCATCAAGTTGACATAAGACTTATCTGATCTTTCCCTTCGTCTGCGATGTGCACGCTACACCGCGCGCTGGGCCAGTCCGGCTTCCGAGGCGGCGAGCGCCAGTGCGTCTGCAACTATGAGATACAATCGGCGTTCGCCTGTGATGCGGGCATCGACCTGCAAAGAGACAGAGGCTGCAGGCTCTGTCTAAAAGGCTGATGTTTGAGCTTGGCTCGCGACTATTGTGTGTGGCATGTGCTGGCCGTCCAAAGCCACAAAGACTCTGCATCCAGGCTTCCAACTCGCCATTTGCCGAGCACTCTGGACGACCACGCACTCTACATGCAAGTGGGCCATCAGCATCAGCATGAACACTTCACAAGCAGACAAGGACTCCGCATCCGCAACGGAGCTTGTAATCAAAATGCGAGCCCTTGCCTGGACGCCCTGTGAGGAGCTCGAGGACTTGAGGATACTAAGGTTCGATCGCACGGGAGGAGCCAGGCCACACCGACGAAGCATCTCGAGAACCGCGCTCTCTCGGCCAGTGACCTTGGATGAAGAGTGGCAGCGTAGGTGCCGTGTAAGCCTTCTGAGCCTTCTCTCGTCCGATGTTCAGGGCACGTTAAGTCAGGATGCTGAGAGACCCGACCCCCCCTAAGCCACATCTCTAAGCGCCTTGCTGCACCAAATCGGGGCATCTCCAACGCAGTCAGCTCATGCTGCAACCAAGCATAGGCGCCGTTCACTGCATCAATCTCCACCCCATAGTTGGCGAGTATCTGCTTTTGCTGAGGAGTCCAGAGAGTTGGGATCAGCTTCTGTGCTTCATCTGACAATGCATGGAAGCCATCACAAACTAGCGGCACGGTAGTGATCCTATTCTTCCAGGCAGTTGCGATTTCTCCGGCACACCAAACTCTGCGTAACAACTCGGGAGTAAGCACAACCACAACGCTTCTTGTAGCCGTCCGAACGATGTCGAAAAGATAGTCGAGGTTCTCCAGCTGATCGCAATCCAAGAACACACGAGTGGACGAATGCCTGGCGATCAAGATCTTCATGAGCCGGCAGAGACTGCCTGAACCCCCCTTGTGATGGCAAAGGAAGATGCCATAAAGGTGCCTATTTTGGAAACTGCTGATGGCTGTTTTCAACAGGGCCAACAAAGCCGCAACCAAAATAGCCAGCACAGGGATGCAAAGTAGCCATCCGAGTACGGCAGTGGACTCGTCATCCTCCATTTTCAAGAGCGGGGCAGCCCCCAACAGAATCACAAGGAGAAACGCCGTCAGTAGAAGGTCAACCAGATTCGCCCTTGCAGTACGCCATGGACAAGTGTGCGCCTGCACGGCTAGGCTGGCAATCAGGACGGCACCCATCAGTGGCACTTGCAGTGATGGTGCCCCAACGAGAACAACCTTAGTTTCTCTTAAAGGCTGCTCGACTTCGGGTCCTATGTACCATAACTTCAGCGGCTTATTGGTGCCAAGGTATCAGCAATCAGTTCTCAAAAGGTTTCCGAGTGAGCCTTGGCAACAGGCAGAAGGGCGACGAGGCCATTGCGATAAAGGAGGACCAGGCCATAGTAATAGTTCCGCGGCTTGAAGCGGTGGAAAAGGAAGCGGTGCTTGTTTACAAGGCGAAGGCCTCTTCCAGTGGCCACGCGTGACGGGTACATCATGATGGCAAAAGTCGCCCATCCCAGAACAGCCACGGGCTGCGTAAAGAGTCCTTGGGCCCAGAGCACTCAGACATCACCATACATCAGCCAACAAGACCATGTATCTGGACGTGCAGACATGAGCGCACATTGCAGACAACGGATGTTCCTGGGCTGAATCAGAAGATGTGACAGGAAAGCAAACTGAGCAGTCCCGCTGATGCCGTCATTGACAAGGTGACATATCTCCTCCCTTTCTTTCCCTCATCTCACCAGACTCGCTTAATGGGTCATGCAGGGGAAATGGACTGCACCCTGCATGGACTGTGGGAGCATGCGCCCTGCACTGCACCCCTGCAATGTACCCTTCAGGCCCTGCTCGCTACTAGGCCTGGTTTTCGGCTCAGAACCCCTCATGCCTAAGGATTTTATTTTGGAGACGGGGCGTGGGGGTGGCAGTTGGTGTAGGGGCGATGTGCAGCCAATAGAAGCCAGGCTTCCCATCACAGCCAGCCCGACAAGAGTCGCGTGCTCATCGGACTGGTAGCAAACAATACCAGGGTCTGTCATCATCGAAGCACTTCCGTCTGGATTTGGCACGCACTGGAAAGGCATAAGAGTGGTCAAAGTGATGGACAAGAAAAATGCAAAGAAGAGGAGGCCGCAGTGGTTGAGGATGACGTCCATTGGTTTGGGACGCCCGAACACCCTTGACAGGAGCCAGCTGCACAAGAGAACCTTAGTTTTCTCCAGGGTGTGTGGACTTCTGGCATGTGAGATTGTACGGATTTGACCGATACAGTTCCGATACAGCTGTGTCTGCAACCAGGGGGCAGTACAGGCGGCTGGACAGGCAAGCAGCTGACTGATGAAAAGTAAAACAGGACTATCTGTTCCGTATATGCATGTGATGCGTATGAGATGGAAATCAAAGGTCAAAACGCTTGCCAAGTCAATCAAGGTCTTTACGGGCTCTTGCCATTGGATAGCCAGTTCACGGATTGAGCCTAGTGCTTGAATTGCCATGACCAGCTGACCTCAAAGGGACTGGGACTCTGGCAGCTGCTCAAGAAGGGTATGGAAGAGACTCAGTGCAGACATGACCGCTACTGGTACATTCTACTGGTACAATGTTCCCTGGGAGCCCGGGCTTGCAATTGCAGTCGCTGTCAATGTGTTCAAGCCTTGGCTGCTGGGGTTTCGTTGCAGGCCAGCGGCTATGGGCCGGAGTACACACCATTACACTGGAGAGCAGGACTCCCAACAAGCTCCAGAGTCAATAAACCGCCAACGTCAAAATCCCCATTATGATGGGAAAGGGATGGACAAAAACTGCTCGGACCTCGCTTTGCGGCTTTGCGGGGCCGAGGCGCTAACTTGGTTGGGCTCCAAGCCCGAGATGCTGAGCAGAATCAATGCAAGCAGGAGAAAGACGGCAAAGATGACTCCGGGTAGTAGGTCGGCATCACCACAGGATTGACACCCAACGTCCACGGGGAAGTGCTTCTCCTTGCAATTGTTGCATGCTCGCCCCTCCCTGCCTGCTGCACACGTGCCCAGTGGCCCAGCGGGGCATTCAAGATTGTCCCGACAGCGGAGGACCGAGAAGGCACATTGCAGTGAGCCAGTGGAAACTGGCTCTGTCCAAAAGCCGCCCCGTTGCTGTGGGAGCGCCAGCCCTGTGGGGCAATACAGCCCCTCTGGGCAGGGTATGCAACCACGGCCTTCGCACATGAAGGAACCTTGTGAGCAAAGGCACTCTGATTCAGCCTCCGCACCACTGTAAAGAGTGATTTGGTTCTTGCCACAGGGAAGGCATCGGATGCCCTGTGCGGAGGGCATGTAGCTGCCTGGCTCGCAGCGCTTGCAGGCCTCCATACCCTCTTCGGGCGCCGCATAGCCAGGCAGGCATTCGCTGCACTCTGCCGAGCCCACGTCGCGGGCGACGTTGCCCCTAGGACACGGGCGGCACTCCGTGCTGCCTGTCTCGTTCGCAAAGCTTCCGCGAGGGCATGGCAAAGAGGGAGCGGCAGGCCCTCCCAAACACATCTGGCCCCTCGGACATTCCTTGCATTGCTTCGACTGCTGGTCCTGATAAAAGCCAGGGTCGCAGGAAAAGAGCTGCGACGGGGGTCGAAGCCCTGTTGTCGAGTCCATCCACACCACCTGGGTAAGGAAGGTGAAGCTCAGCGTCGAGGCGCTGAAAGAGGCCGCGACACGCGCCTCGGGTGACGCGGGTGTGGAGGATGTGCCAACCGGCTGCACGTTCCACAGCTGATATGAAGCTAGCCGGTCGCCATTCTCATCGAAGCTAACCTGCTCAGGCCGTCAAAGCGGAGGCTTCCGCTGCTTCGCGCAAATACAGCGAATGCTAAACCCTTCGGACCATGACTCCTATGCACAGTAAGACCCAGCAAGCTGCTCTCCCGCGTGGCCTCACCGGAGACACCCGTGAAGCTGGTCTTGCGCATCTCTTCGAGAAGCACATGGCCCTGAATTGCGTCGGTCGGCACTCCTGCGTTCAAGAGTTGGTTGATAGCAATGATGAAAGCATATAAAGCGTCAAAGGAGAATGCTGCGTAGGCCGACAAGGAAGTGCCCCAAGTGGAAGTGTCGGTGAGTACCCCTTCGACAGATCCATTTGCCAATGGCTCTCTCATCTTGTTCAGCCTTAGAGTCTCGCTGGGTCGCTGAGCCTATCGCTAAAGAGGCCTAAATAGCTGAGACGAAGTTGGAACCTCGTGCGTTCCGAGGAGCCTGTACTTGCCTAAACTCTGTGGACCAATGATGTCTTCTGGTTCCAGCATGGACCATAGCTGCCGGAAGTCGTGAAACTTTTCGCCCTTGCCATCTGACAAGAAGAACATGAAGCCAACAGGCAGCACGTGGCGAATCCCAATTGAGGAAAGGGTGTCTGACCCCACGATCTGCCACTCCGAGCTCAACATCCCCTCCTCCTCAAGGACGTAAATGAAGCTCATGGCCATCACTTGGCTCATGAGCAAGATGATGAATCGGGAGCCCATCCGCCGGGCGATTCTTGCAACCTTGCGAGCCTCGTCGCGGTCAAAGGGTTCTTGAAGCCCTTGGCCCTGGACACGGTCCTGATAACCATCGGCCTGTGCAAGCTCCTTGAGAACGGTGTACAGACCCTGGCCGTATCCTTCAGTCGTGTAGAGGCAGGTCGCCAGGACTACCTCGAACTGCAAGATCCAGCGCCACAAGGCTCGAGACTGGATATTGTCTGGCGGGGCGGTCCGCAGGAAGAAGGGGTATGCGTCCTTGTTGGACAAAGCAAAGCTTGTAGCCGAGAAAGATAGCTGGGGGACCTGCTGAACTGCAGCCATTGTGGCAATGGGCATGGTCACCGACGATAAGCTCCCGCCGATCAGCCCAATGACCGGTGGCGCTCCATCGAGCCCTAGCATCATGTCCAAAGCAGATGCTACACCCACATCTTGCCTAGCATGTGTCGTTCCAATGCGAAGGTTTATGGATGTCGCGTTTGGATGGACTTGAGGAATCTGGATGATGGGCGGGCCAAAGCGCTCCGCTACGGATGCATCCCAGTTCTTCTGGAAGTCCAAATGCGCGGCGATGATGGCGATCAGCAAGTCCGGCGCGTAAGCTGTCCATGCACCTATCGCTCCCAAATAGAGCTCCGACTTGCTCCAAGCAAGCGTGCTCAGCAGGATGATGAGGAAGAGTGGCATCAGGTCCTGGCATCTATGATTATAGCTAGAAGTGCACCGCAAAAACAAAACAGGAGCACACGATACAGAGGCATAGGATAAACATGTCATCCTCCAGCCGCATGTATTGCGACCCAGGTCGGTCGCACACGACACAGCACCCATTCCACGGCTACCGGACACTTCTCCTTCCCCCATACAGCACCCCACCACCCGCGGAAGAAACGATCGCCTGAGCGACGCGCATGTGCCCATCGAGACGACCATGATTTGCACTCTGTCGCCAGAGCTCCAGTGAGGGGTGGCAGAACTCACGAGTGAAGTGTAACGAACGAGAGACGTGCCGCATGGCACGTCAACGTTCACAAGTTTTTGGGATGATGGGGGGGGGAGGGAGCATTGCAATTGAAATATTTTGGGGGGGGGGGGGGGTGGGATGAGGGGGGGGGGGGGGGGGGGGGATGGGGAGTGGGAGACAGTCAGTTGTCCTGAATCACTTTATGTTGAGCTCAGCTCATGCAAGAACGCGCCCGCGCCTTGGGCGCTCAAACCCAGGCGGCATCGGTCCTAGCTACGCTCCAGTCGTTGCCGCTTTGCGTGATGTAGTTGCAGGTGACAAGAATGGACATGAGATTATGAGATGATATGAGAGAATGTGAGAGCCATCATTCGCACCTTTTCACCTTGAGGAGACCGGAGGCGAGCTGCTTGGTACATGCAGTGAGCACGGCAGTGGACTATTCGAGCGCTACCCTAAGAGCTGAGAGGATGCGCCTTGGGCCACGCATCCTGGGCACAATTTTCATGCTCTCTGCGCGCGGAGTTTGCGAAACTCGAAGATCAAGGCCCTGCGCTTGAGCGACTCTGAGCCATGCACGTTATCTGGTATCCATTATCTACCGATTAAACCACCGCTTGACTTTGCCAAGGGTGCAAGGCAAAATCGTGGACAGAGGTAGGCAGACGGAAGCTGCTAAGCTTGTCTGCGCTCGGAACTCTTTGGTTTTCCGTGCCTTAAATGCTCACAGTGTCACTTCTCAGGGACACGTCCTTGTGATCCGCTAGGCCTTCTAGGCTCTCGCCCTCATAACTATCCAGGCCTTCCTCATCGACAGATGCCCAGCAAAGCGTTTCGGAAAGCTTCGCCTCCACTGCCTCACCCAATGCAGCCGTCACTCGTCCATCGTCTGCCTCATCGAGGCAGGCTGCCGTTGCTGGCTCCTGGGGAAGCACATAAGACTCCAAGAACTCCACAAGGCTGCTTTGAAATCTCCCTCAGTCTGGAACATACCCCTCCCCAAGACTTGCATTAAGAGCCTTAAGAGGGCGCAAAGTAACTCAACCAGAACAAACACGCTACTTGCCCTTGCACTGTCGCACAGCCAAGAGATTCAATAAAATCAAGGCTATCAGATCGACCTTGGAGACCCTGAAAGAAGCAGAAAGCAGAAGATCGCCTCTGGGCAGGAACCCATGTCATCAAATAACAACTGCTCTTCTTGTGCCTTGGGGGGGGATATAGGGATCTTGGTTTAGGCATCGACTGCAACAAGCATTCAAAAACAATGCGTATATTCGATCCGAAGATGACCTGGCCCCATGTGGGTTCCAAATCTGTCCTTGTACCGATGCATGCGGCGAGCAAGCTCTGCAACTTGCTTGTGCTGCAAACCTTCGGACGCCAAGGGCGAGAACGGCAAAGCCAAGACGTTGAGCAGCTCACGCTGAGCCTGGGTTGTGGCCAACTATGGCTAGCAGGGAGATCGCGGAATTTGATCTTTGCCTACCCCAGTCAATGCGAAAATGCAAATTTCATGCTTTCCAAATCGAGTGTTTGGTGCGGAATCGAACTTCAATACCTCACTTAGAAGATGATTCTTGAATTGCTGCCGAGCAGGCTTCAGCAAGCTGTGGGCTTGACCTTGGGCTCTCCGAAAGGCTCAGCATGGGCGTCATCGGTGCTTCGACTTCGAGGCTTGGGAAGTCGAAGTGCGAATCTGCTAAGACGGTCACAAGCTCCAAGTGTCGCCCCGGTCCCGTGAAGGCTGCTGCAAGAAGCCGGCCGAAGCCTGGGTCCCGGAAGATGCCACGGAAGAGCAGTACCACCAGATAGTAGGCAAAGGGCTTCCTTAGCTGGCGCATGGTCCTGTTGACTGCCTGTGCTCTGTGTCAGATTTACCTTTCTTCTGTTAAACCCCCTCTTGCTACAAAGTTACAAATCTCTGTCACTGGTGATGCAAGAGACTAACATCACCAACAAGCAGGTCAATCGCAAAAATCTGGCAATGGCTAGGGTATTCGTAAACTGGCCTCTCTTGTTCTCTTCTTCTTGAAGACACAGGATCCAAAAAACATTTAAGAACCATCAAAAACTTATTCACCTCCCCCCCCTCCCCACACCTTCCCCCCCCCTAAACCCTTGCACGCCTTGCCCGTCTTTGGGCCGGCCCGGCTGCCGAGGCGGCGCGCAAGCGTTTACAATTAACAACAAACAGCCTAATGAACGACGGAGAATTCATGTAAGATTGTTTCAGATGTGGTTAGCCTCATTTCTGTTGGCTTATTTCTACAATTCGAAATCGCAATATGGAAAGCGGACCGCTGAAGACCAAACATGACATGCTGAACCACATTTGCATCTATAGCCAAATCCACAAACGGATTGTTGAGTCTAGCCAATATGACTTGATAGATGGGCAGATGAGAGAACACGGTGATTACCGGTCTTTGCCACCCTTGTACAAAAGCAAGCACAGACGCGAGTGGTAGATCAGGGGGAGGGTGACATTAATGTATATATATATGTATATATATATATATGCGGCTTATATGCGCATATGTATATAAGAGCGCGCGGCAAAACCTAGAGGCCACGACTGGGACATTTCATTGAGGGTATCACTTTTGGGGTTAGGTATCGCTTTCTCAATCAAAACGATGATATTCGGGGGGTATCGCTTTTGGGGTTAGGTACCAAAGAGAGGCGCGGGATTTAGCCAGTCGCTGTTGAATAACATTAAGAAAGACGTACAGACAACCATGCAGGTAAAAGGGCCGCCAAAGCTGCTTGGGCAGTCATTGTGTCTACCAACCTCATTGGATCAAGCTGAGCTTCCAGTGCATCATCTGCCGGGTGCCGTGAACGACCGCACACTCCACTTGTAGGCAGGCCTGCTGAGGCTCAATCGGCTTCAGGCTTTTTGCGTCTTGCGAGAGCTTTTGGAGGGCTTTTTGGGCCGAAATCCTTTGAGGGAACTGCGCAGCACACCCAGGAAGTTGTGAGGGTTCGTTCAAGCATTTGCCATCCCTTCCTGCAACATCATCTGGAAAACTTCGCAGGCAGAAAGGCATTCGGCGTCAGCGACAGAGGACGTGATGAGAATTCGAGCTCTTGCAGGGACCAGGGCTTCAGAAGCCGTCCGGGAGACGTAGGGGACGTAGGTGGTGTGCGCAGAAGTCATTCTTCGCATCATCGCACCGGAGGACGGCTGGCCACAGCGAGAGAGAATCTCGAGGACCACCTCCTCGCGCCTACTGACCTTGATGCGAAGGAAATTTTACGAGATTGGGCATTGTCATAGGCGTTCTGGTCTTGCCCATATTAACATTTCTTACATGCACACACAGGTAGCATCCAGCTGTTCAGTGGCAGAAATCGCCGGAACGTAACTAGACGGCATGCGGATTGTGTAGAACACTGGTAGAACTCTGCTACCGAGCCTGCAGGCCTTCGATGCTCGAGGAACCAAGGTATGGTAGTTTGCAGAGGCGCTAGAAACATTTCGTGAGGCGCACGCCTCAAGGCACATGCGATGCTGCTGCTAGATTCGCTAGATTCCGCTAGATGTTCTACCACCTCAGGAGCCGACAGGTCCAAATCGAGGCATTGGAATGCCTTCTAGATCGTGCTGTATCCAGTCGTATGCGTGGTTCACGGCATGGAGCTCCACCCCATAGTTGGCGAGTATCTGCTTCTGCTGAGGAGTCCACAAAGTTGGGATCAGCTTCTGTGCTTCGACTGAAAGTGGACGGAAGCCATCACAAATGAGCGGCACGGTGTGGACCTTATTCTTCCACGCGGTTGCGATTTCTCCGGCACACCAGACCCTGCGTAAGAGCTCCGAAGTGAGCACGACCACAACGTTTCTTGTCGACGTCCGAATGATCTCGAAAAGAAAGTCGAGGTTCTCCAGCTGGTCACAGTCCAAGAACACGCGGGTGGAAGAATGTCTGGCGATCAAGATCTTCATGAGCCGGCAGAGGCTGCCGGCACCCCCCTTGTGATGGCACAGGAAGACGCCGAAGGGAACTGTTGGACGAAAGTGGCCATATGCCACCCCAGCCAGGCCGACCAGGCCGACCAGCAGCAAACCAACCACGGGTACGCACAGCAGCCAGCCCAAGACACGCGAGGAACTCTCGAAGTTGATACTCAGGAGCGGGGCAGCACCGAGCAAAATCACCAGCAGCAGCACGCTGAGGAGGAGGTCCACGACCTTGGCAAGGGCGATGCACGCCAGCCGCACGGCAACAACCGCGCCTGACCCAAAGCCAGAACTCTATGCCATCTCCTGCATAAGGAGCCCAAATCGTGGACTGGACGATGAGCAAAAGCACCAGAAATAACAGACCGTGACCTGAACAATAGCCTCTATTCATATTTGCGGAATGGAGTTTTGGCTCACGGTTGACGGTCTCTCACTTGACTTCAGTGCAAGAAAATTGTAGAATGACAAGAATGCAAGCCGGGTAATTACACAGGATGCGTTCCGGCCCGACCCAGCGTGCACGGGAACATGTGGCAGAGTGGAGGGGTCATGTGGCAGCTGCTTTCTTGGAGGAGAAGAGAAGCCTGGAAGTGTTGGTTTTGGCCCGGAAATGCAAAGAACCCTTGAAGATGCAGATCTCAGCCGAGCCGCAAACCAAGAATTCTGGTTTAAACCCACCATAAACCTGGATAGGATCTTGTCACGTCCCAAAACAATGTCATGGGGTGGCCAAGACGAGCCACCCTGATTTTTAATGGGACTCCCCTTTGCCACGTCCAGCATGGGCCAGCTCTCGGCCCTCTCAGGCTCTGGATGCCAAGCATCGCGAGGAGCTCTCTCTTTGTTTTAACTTTACAGCCCAAGCCTTCCCCATCTTAATGGGTTTAGGGCCTAGGGGTGGAGGGGGCACGGAACAGTCAGACGCTGACCTCTTATTCCACCCCCATTGGGCCCGCGGCGTTTGCGGTCTCGGTGCGCCAGGGGTACGTGCGTGCTTGTAGCGCGAGGCTGGCCAGCAAAATAGTGCCCATGGCTGGTACCTGCATCTCAACGACACCGACCGTGGTGGCCGGAAGCAGCGCCACGATAGCGTTCCGGTAGAGCAACACCAAGCCGAAATAATATCTCTCAGGCTTAAAGCGGTGGAACAGGAACCGGTATCGGTGTACTTGGCGCAAGCCACTTCCACTAGCCATGCGGGCTGGGTACATCAGTGTCGCGTACGTTGTCCATGCGAGAATGACCGCTGGTTGACTCAGTATGCCTGCTACTGCCAAGGCCACCAGCACCACATGCTCATGGGAGTTGTAACACACTATTCCTGGGTCGGAAATCATCGAAGAGCTGCCGTCCGGATTGTGCACACATCGAAACGGTGCCAAGCTTGCCAACGCAATGGACAAGAAAAGTGCAAAGCAAAGCAGTCCGCATAGGTTGAGCACACCTCACGTGCTGCGAACAGTGCGGAAATCCGCTAAAGACTCTATAGCCTAAAGTGGGTCCAGATTGTGTTTGTTTCAGACAGAATGCAAAAGCAACGTCTGCATTGGTCAGGGCAAGACGCTGTCTAAAGGACACTGTCGGCCGCACATCTTCGTGCCTAACCAGCTCACCAGTAGCAGAACGCATCCAACTGGACATGCCATCATCTGACTCACGAAATGCACTGTCGGATTGTCAGTGCCCAGAAAGCAGGAGAACTTGATAATGTCCAAATCGAATGTGAGCAACTTCGTCAATTCAACCATGCTCTTGGCTGGCTCTTGCCATTCAATTGCAAGTTTCCGGATAGATCCCAGGGCTTGGATCGCGATGATGATTTGGCTGAAAATCGCGGCTGCTGTCAGCAAGTTGAGACCTTCAGAGCAACAGAGTCCCACATTGTCTCACATTCGGCACTTCAGGGCGCACTCACATGCCAAACATGCCAAACATCTAAACACAACCGCTCATGTCAGGGACTATAGGTCATTCCTGACTCCAAGTGGCTTTGCTGGCTCGGATCCATGTTCTTGTACGACAGCAAGAGCAAGAGGCTTAGCGCCAGCAGCAGCAAAGCAACAGTAGGAAGTAGGTCTGCATCGGCACAAGGCTGACACGTGCCGTTGTTGTCGGGGAAGTGCTTCTCCTTGCAGCCGTTGCATGCTCGCCCCTCCCTGCCGGCTGCACACGTGCCCAGTGCCCCAGCTGGGCATTCAAGATTGTCCCGACAGCGGAGGACCGAGAAGGCACATTGCAGTGAGCCAGTGGAAACTGGCTCTGTCCAAAAGCCGCCCTCTTGCTGTGGGAGCGCCAGCCCTGTGGGGCAATGCAGCCCCTCTGGGCAGGCTATGCAACCACGGCCTTCGCACATGAAGGAACCTTCTGAGCAAAGACACTCTGATTCAGCCTCCGCACCACTGTAAAGAGTGATTTGGTTCTTGCCACAGGGAAGGCATCGGATGCCCTGTGCGGAGGGCATGTAGCTGCCTGGCTCGCAGCGCTTGCAGGCCTCCATACCCTCTTCGGGCGCCGCATAGCCAGGCAGGCATTCGCTGCACTCTGCCGAGCCCACGTCGCGGGCGACGTTGCCCCTAGGACACGGGCGGCACTCCGTGCTGCCTGTCTCGTTCGCAAAGCTTCCGCGAGGGCATGGCACAAAGCGGGCATCGACGCCACCCACGCACATCATTCCTCTTGGACATGCTCTGCATTGCCTGGACATCTCCTCTTTGAAAAATCCAGGGTCGCAGGCCAATAGGCTTTCTGGTGGCTGGTACCCGAACTGGCCGTTCATCCACATCACCCCGGCTCGACTCTTAAAGGAAAAGTTGAGCGTAGTTGTGCTGAACACCGCCACCGTGGCGGCTTCGGGCGCCAGCTCATCGCCTTGCATGTTCAGAAGATCGTACTCTGCCAAGCGATCTCCATTCGAGTCGAAGCTCACGACACCTGAGACGCCGGTGAACACAGTGCTGCGCATCACACGGAGCAGCAGCGGGCCCCTTACGTCACGCTCTGTAAGCCCGCTGAGGAGCAGCTGGTTGATTGCTGTAATGAAGGTGTAAACGGCATCAAAGGCAAAGGCATGGTATGATTGCAGTTGAGCCGACAGGGAAGCATTGGGGATCTCCTCCACGGCCATGCTCATCTTACCAAGCTTGTACCTGTATTCGAAAGGCACTTTTGCCCGGCTCCCGTTCTCTGTAGGGCGATTTCGCAAGATCCCGGACATGAAATCGAGTCCAATACTCTTCCACAAGCTTAGTTTACTGAGTGCATGCCAAGGTGCCTGGCTTGAGCGTCCTGGCCTAGGAGGTCTGTATAGTCGAGTCTAGACCACAGATCCGAAAACTCGCGAAACTTTGAGCCCGATCCCTGAGGATTCACCATCATAAAGCCCAGTGGAAGGAATTCATGCGATGTTCGCCACGCGAGCGTATCTGATCCAATGGCTTGCCAACCTGGCCCTAGCAGCCCTTCCTCTGTGAGTACGGGCATCAGCTGTGGAATCATGCGGAGGGAGATGAGTGGAACGAGGAAGCGCGAGCCCAGGGTCTTGGCGCTCCTCACGGCGCCCTGAACCTCCCCTTTGTCAAAGTTCTCCGGCATGTAGCGCACCGCCTGACCCACGATCCGTGCCTGGGTACGGCTCCCGCTGCTCCGGCTGCTTGCGATTTGGGCAACTTGCGCCTGCTCCGTCAGGGCTTTGAAGAGTGACTGTCCGTAGGCCTCCTCGGTGTAGAGGCAGATGGCCAGCGGCACGTCGAAGGCCAGGATCCAGTTCCAGATTACGATGGCCTGAAAAGTGTCGGGTGGTGCGGTTCGCATGAAATAAGGGTATGCGTCTTTGTTGGAGAGGAGTGGGCTTGTGGCCGAGAAGGAGACCTGCGGAAGCTTCTTCACAGCTGCCGTTGTTGCGATGGGTAGGGCCACGGAAGAGATGGCAGGGCCAATCAAGCCTATGATGGGCTCTTCTCCATCAAGCCCAAGTACCATGTCTAAGGCAGTGGCGAGGCCAACATCGGCTTTCCCTTCTGTGGAGCCAAAACGAAAGGAGACATTCACCATGGATGGGTCGATGTGTCCGATGTCGATGATGGGAGCTCCGAACTTGGCCCTCAAAGCCGGGTCGAAGTTCTTCCGAAAATCCAGATCTGCGCTCATTGCTGCCAGCAGAATGTCCCCAAGCTCCACCCAAGGGCCAATCACCCCCAGCAACACGTGGGAACATCCCAAAACGAAGCAATTCAGGACCTGCAGCCTGGCAAGGTGCCAAGCCATGGGGACGAATTCGAGCGCCTGCCTGGGCAATTTTTCTGGGGAGTATACTGGGCTGCGGTGGATTGGCTCTTGTTTCTTAAGAGGCGCGGGGACCGCACCTGTATTCAGCAATCAGCCTGGCCTGGTTTTATATGTCCTATACGTCGATTACCATGTGTAAAGAAACGATGTCTGGCTACATCCAGCCTCCAGCACGGGTTTCGTGCTGCCTGAGCCAAGACTCCGCCGAGTCCGTCAAATCCTCTCGAACCTGATTAAAATTAGACTGGGGCAGAAGAGGACTTCGCTTTAGTTTCAGTACTCCATGGGCTTCGGGTGGGGGGCCCTGACTCTTTTTCTACTGCGCTGCTGCGGAAAGGGGCTTGCGAAGACTTCGGGCAGCCTTCGGCTGGGCACAGCCCCTCGGGCACTCAAGATGGCTTTGTCTTGCATTCCTTGCATTCGTCCCCAGAGCTGTCAGAGCCATCAGGCAAGGCCTCGGGGAGTGCCGCGAGGCAAAGCACGAAGCGCTTGCGAATCGAGGATGGCGAGGCTCCCGCGGCCACAGCAGCTGCCTCCTGCTCGGACACATAGCTCTGCAGGCGAGCCGAGTCCTTCGAAACTTAGAAGATTTAGATTTCTTCGGAAGCCCCTTTAAGCAGAGGATTTCCTCGCAGCGCAGGGTCCTGTCGACGCAGCTCGATGTCCAAACGACCTCTGGGCCAACGAGCTCGGGACATCACCACTGTAAACATGCCGTTGTAGGTAGGAACGAACACCAAGCATCACCGAGCTGCTGAAGAGATCCTCAGCCTGTGCGGTCGCACCGCCGTTGATTGCCTGACAGATTCTGAAAAGCTCCGTTTCCGGCGAGCACCTTCAACATCCTCCATGATGTCAGGCTACTTGGCACATGTACAAGCCCACAGGGCAGTGACCAGTGGCCTGGCAAAGTTGCGCAGTCAAGAGGTCACCGAAGGCCTCGTGCCTTCCACCACCCAGAGCTGCAAATTTGGCTTGGGGAAAATTTGTTGGGGGTTCTATTACTCAGGGTGCGCTCCTCCCTTGGTCATGCTGAAGCTCGTCGCCATAGCCACTGCTGCTTGTTTTGCCCTTGCCCTGCAGAGTCAGAGATGCAGCATGACTCCAAGAACAACTCAAGCATATTCAAAGGCCCTGAAAGGAACTCTCTACAGATCTCTACATTGGCCCTGCATCTTGGCTCAAGAGCCCTTGCCTTGGCTCCTTTGGCAGCTTCCGCCATGGCTAGCGGCTAGTCTGAGGGCGAGATTTGTTTTTTCTATTTGTGCGTTTTTGCCCAGTCAGCTGGAGTGCGCAGTCGAGCCTCTGATGCCCTGACCTTGCCTGTGGAAAGTCTTGGATTGCAGTCACCGCCTTGGGTGTTCTGAGATCTGGGCCAGCAAAGCGGGACGAGGGAAAGATTGGCAGTAGCTGTTTGCAGTAGCTGTGCAGACTCAGGTGGCACCGAACCGTCGGATCCAGTTGGTGCTGACTATTTCACTTGCTTCAGCTCCAGCTCAACGGACAGGTCGGCCTTGTCGGTTAGCACCTGCAGTTTACTAAATCATTGTTTCTGGCACATCCTGCTCGTAGACCGGTAGATTTCTTGATTTGGCACCTCGCCCCCATCGCGGAAGCCCAGCCGTCCAGGCACCAGCAGGCGTCGCCGCTGGCCCGTGCCTGCGAAGCCTAGACCCTCAGCGGCCCTACTGACGTGCTATGCTCCAACCCTTCCTTATATACACAATTAAACAACCCCCCACACTCGGTCAGAGTTGGGCAAAATCTGGGCCCTCGGGCGCATGCCCAGGATAGCTGGTGCCCAAGCACGCAGGACTTCCTCGATGTTCAGGTTCCCGTCCACCTCCACCGCCCAAAGCGGGCGCAACGCATTCCACTAGAGCGCTCGCAGCTGTGGTGTTTTTTCCGTTCAAGCTAACGCACTGCACACCAGCCATCTTTTCGTGACAGTTTCGCTGCGTGGGACATTTTCGTCACACTACACTGTTCAAGTCAACGTTCTTCAGACAAACCATCTTTTCGTGACAATCTCGTTGCGTGAGACAGCTTTGGCCAAACTATCCAGGCCAACATAACCCAACGCTCTCCACACAACTAATCTTTTCATGGCAGTTTCGCTGCGTGGGACATGTTTCGTTAAACTGTTCAAGCCATTGCTCTTGACACAGATCATCTGTTCGTGACAGAATCGTTACGCGAGACGGCTTTTTGTCACACTGTTCACGCGAAACAGACAAGGCTCTGCACACAAATCATCTTTTCGTGACAGTTTCGCTGTGCGGGATATTTTTCGCTACACTGTTCAGGCATTTGCTCTTCACACAAACCTTCTTGGCAAACTGTCCAGGCCAACGATTCGTACACAAACCCCTTTTCTGAGACTGTGTCGCTGCATGGGACTTTGTCCAAAAACTGTTCAAGCGATTTCTCTTCACATAAACCATCCTTTCGGGACAGTTCACACAAGCCATCTTTTCGTGAGAGTTTCGCATGAGCACGCTTGTCAAAGTGTTCAAGCCAACGCTCCACATACAAACCGTCTTTTCGTGACAGTTTCGTTGCATGATTTTTGCGGAACTTTCCAAGATAACGTCTCGTTACGTTTTCGTTGCGTGAGACACTCTCTTGTAAGCTTTGCTGCGCGACATGCTTCAGCAAAACGTTCCAAGTCAACACTTTGGTTAAACGCCATCGTTTCGCGACAGCTTCGTTGCATGATACGTTCTTGCAAAGTCTTTTCTTTGCGAGATACACTGGAAATTGTTCAAGCGACGCCTTGGACGCAGGCCATGCTTTCGTGACGGCTTCGTAGCATGATGCACGATTGCAAACAAAGTCTTCCGAACTCTTGGACACAAACAATCTTTTCGTGACAGTAACGTGATGCAATATTGCAACGTTCCCCCATGTTACCCCCAAGGCGTTCCATTTTTGCCCGTCGTGACAACTTCACTTGGGCTTTCGCCGAACTTTGAACCTTGCGAAACATTTTGTCACGGACATGTCCAGTTCTCGTCATGAACAGCCGCAATGCCGCATGTTACGAAGCAATATGTGCTCTAAAATTGTGCAGGCGTTCTCTAATCTTGTTAAGCCCTTGATCTTCGACTCACGCGCCCGGCACAATCAAATGGAAGCTTAACGCATGAAGGACGTGGCGCAGTGAGTGCCTCTATAAGCTTGCATCACTTCCGCCCCCCCCCCCCCTTTTGCTGGGGGCCCGAGCCCAGCCATCCTTGAGGTCCGCGTCGCCGAGTTGAAACGACACCTGCCCGCGTTCCACCACCTGTGACACTGTCACTCTTGGACCCTGGGGTCGTGTAAATCCGTGGGCGATGATGCCATTGGTTCAATTGACATCCCCAGGAGCTGCCTTAGGCTTGCTTCCCTTTGTGGAGATCGCAAAGCGGAGCTCAACCTGAGACATTCTTACAACATTGCGCGACAGAGTGTCTGCGCTTCGAGTCGCGCTCGCCTTAGGGGCCTTCGCTTGCTCAGAGTCTTAGCGCCAGTCTAACCAGTCTAGTACTCTTTCCTGGAAGCACAACGTGCACCCCGGCAAAACTCGACATGACTCACATGAAAAATCAACTGTTAAGCCGAAGCCCATACTGCAAAATACTGCAAGCAGCACGACATCACTGAAGCAAAAACATCGCAACAAGCACACCAGCAAGTACAACGGGGCCCTGGCTTCCTGCCCCATTGAAGCCTCGGTCGACCCACAGCCATGGGAGCCCTGCGAATGTGCTGTGACCCCGGGGCGGTGGACCTTCTCGTCGCCGCAGGCGACGCCTCCTCCACGCTGCAGCATGCTGCCCCCCCCCGCCCCCCTCTCTCTCCCTCACTCTCCCTTTCTCACACTCTGTCTGTGTCTTCCCCTCAACCCATCCAGTCCGCGTGGTGGCAGCTCTTCGAAACTCAAGCCGCCAGCAAGCTGAGTCACGGCCTCTTTAGGCAGAGGGGTTGGACTCAGCTTTCTACGTGGCCTCGGCCTGGGTTCTGCGCCCCACGAACAGGGCGATCCTGCGCAGGGTTTGAGGCAGACAAAATAGACGACTGACCTTCAGACGCAGACGGGCAGAGCCTGGCGCACTCGTGCGGGTTGCAGAGGGGCCTTGGCATGAGTCTCCGCGGGAGCTTACAAGACATTTCGAACCAAACGCCCCCCCCATGCAAGGGCCGCAAGGGCCAGAGGCGCTGGCGCCCGGCGATGCTGCCGGTTTCAGCGGGTTGTAGCCTCAAAGCATCGCAAGATGAATCAAGCGAATCGGAATTATGAAAGTCCGGAAGCACTGCAGTCAAAGGCATGGGCGCACAGCCTGTCGGTCGCTGGGCTCCTTTGAACTGCACTTCGTGCTCACTGCAGGGTGGTTGTGCCGGGGATTCGCCGCGAGCTCTGCACGGTCGATCTCGTGCCGTGAGCGCATGTGACCCTTATGGTGTCGGGCAGTTGCACTCTTGGGATCTTTTTGGGACCTTCATGCGGGTGCGATGTTGCAGACACGGTGGGCAGGTGCTCTGGGCCTATCGCCAGACATGAGTCGAATGTGGTGAACCGCCAGGCGGTCCAGATTTGTATCCGTCTTGGGAGAAGCACATGCTTGACTGGCCAAGTTGCGGGACAGTGACGTTTGGTAGCCAGGCGCCCCATGTCTGCTCATGTATGAGATCGACCCCTTCTGGGCCCCGTTGCTTTGGGCTTGAGAATGCTCTAGTGACTTTTGGCATCCAAGCAAGTGGTGGCTTTGAGTTTGGGGCGGGACTTGCTGTGACACGGTGTCAAGAAGCTCACTCTTCCTCGTGTAGCAAACCCGGCAAGGCCCATTCCTTCTCTTCGATTGCAGCAGCTCCCACCGGCGAGCCCAATCCAGAGCCGGCTGGCCTGTTTCTGGGGCTTTGGAGGCGGCTCCGTTTTGTTTTAAGCACCGGCCTTGCTGGGGAAGTTGTGCTGCCAGGACTGCGCAAAGAACCCAGTGGACAGTTGTGTACACTTGTGTACAGTGTTCATCAGATACAGGTTTGTAAAGGGTTTAATCGCTGACATCTCAGACAAAGCTAAGGCAAGGATCTTCGGCCACTTTCGTTGGTGTGTGTTGGTGACATTAAGACACGTTGGATGGTGGAACCAGTTCAACTGAATATTCTGTCTTCAAACGGAATAATGCAAAACATGCTCGGGTTCTGCGGACCACTTCATGCAGTCGTGCAGGGGACCCCCAAAAAGTCCACAACACCCTCTGAGTCTCGGCCTCTGTCTGCTTTCGTGAGGGTGGTCACGAGGCCTTTTTGCAGGAGAAGCTGGGGAACAGACCTTGGAGGAGAATGTGGACAGGAACGGACTGCCCTCCCAGGCGCATTGGAAACATTTGGGCCTTAGCTCGGCGCGCCAAGCGTGATCGGCATCTCCTGCCTGTGCCCCGACACACATACTCACACACCCACCCGCCCCACCCACGTCGACGGATACATACCGATGCTGCCGTAAGGATGCGTGTTCAGGCCAGGCAGCTTGACGACGCGCAGCCACATCTGGAGGGCCAAATCCTGCAGAGGCACCCGTTGAGTATCGTCAGTCCCCCGTGATCCGTTCTTCGCGCGTTTTCGTGGGCGCGATGTTCTTGTGCCCTCTTAAAGGCTGTCCAAGCCGTACTCGCGCAGTCGACGAATGAAGTCGCAGGAGACACAGGGAGGCGACTGCAATTTCCCCACCTCGGCTCTCTTCTCAAGCACCATACCTCCCAGACCTTCTTTCGAACCTGCTTTCGCTCTTTGTCTCTGTTTAAGTGTGTTTGGGTTGCTTTCTTGCTTGCATTCTCGCAGAGAAGCCGAGGGGCAGATCCTGGCAAGTGCTTGCTCTGGCACGTGTTGAAGGTGCCGCCCGTAGCCGTGATCTGCTCGGCCAGTCTGGGGAGGGAAAACCCATTCACCTCGACCTCAGGCAGTGATGAGAATCTTTAGAATCAGGGGGTCAGAACTCCCTGTGGGCTTATGAGGCTAAATGTAAAGGCTTGCCGAGCTCAATAATTGCTACTCAGCGCTAAGAGCAAGTCGATCTCATCACCGGTCGCGACCTTGGGACTTTGCAAAGACTCCCGTAAGTCGCAGCAGCAAGTCTGAAGTCCAAGTTCGCTGCGTTTGCCACCTGCGGCCGGGAGGCTTCTCACTTCAAGTCACCACCCTATAGATTGCAGTGGCTGGCAATATGCCCCCCCTTTCTACTTCTAGAGAACACGCAATTATACGCAATTGTGACCTGGGGAGCAGCTGACGCTCCGAAGGTTGCGGAGGAGAAGCAGGCTTTTGGGACATCCGTCACAACCTCAGCGAGTGCTTGTCTTAACAGGTCCGAACCAACGAATCTTCAGCCTTGGCTACAGGAGATACAGTGCTGTCAGGCGTGCGGCCAAACGGCCCTCTCCAGCGGACTTCAGGGACAGCGCTGTCCAGCCTTTAGTCCAAAGCTGCCACATTGTTTTTTCCATCAGAACAAAACCCCACTCTCAACAATTAACATCTATAGAGCCCGACCTGCAGGGAGGTGCACCTTGCGAAGATCCCGTTGCCTTGGACCATGGTGTTGGACCTCTGGGCTTGCTGTGGGTCTGCCAGGCCTTGCCGGCACGCTCGTCTCCACGCACGGAGCTTCGGCTTCGGTCTCACCCTGCGTGTAGCCCAGAATGTCCAGAATCATGGGGCTCTTGGGTGAGGCGCCTGAGCCATAGCAGCATGTCTCAGTTCATGACAACCCTTTTCGCCCTCAAACCCTAAACCTTGGCTGCAGGATCTTGGGTCATGGCCTTTGTCAGTTACCTGAAGCTGCCAAGAAAAACCGCAGGGCAGGCGCAGGGAGAGGTTCCGGCCACCTGCGCATCTCACATTTATCACCTCCAAACTTTGTGATCTGAGGCGGAGGATCGAGGTGATCACAGGGACCTTCTTCGACAAGGAAAGCAAAGTTGAAGGCAGCAATGTCCTGCTTGCCTGCAGAATCTGCTTTGATGTTGGTTCTTCGTGGCACAATGGGTTCAAGGTTCAAGCCAGCGCCTGGAGTTGCACCGGTGGCCGAAACCTTTCGCCAGTAAGCCGCCAAAAAGCTGCAACAAGTGTGAGAAAGCGCAGGAGCAGTAAATTGCTCGTATTGCTGGGCACAACTGGCTGGTCATCCGGTCTTCTTGTCCACAACGCATAGCATTCCACAGGCACTTGATCAGTGGCTCTGCTCGTTTGCCCTCATGCGCTCCCTTGACATCCCGTTTCCAATTTCAGATGTTCCTAACGCAGCGCAGAGCCCCATCCCCTCTCCAGAGCCTTGGCAATTATCCTCAACGGAAAGAGGCAATTGCCACAGGCCATGGGCCAATTCCCTGTGGTGGCAACAAGCATCGCAGTGACATTGCAGCGCCCATGATTTCTGCAAGACCCGAAGAGAGTAGGTTCGAGCCACCGAGCAAACATCTACCATGGATTTCTTCCCAACCTCTGAGCCCGAGACACAGCTGGCCTGGAAGGTGGCATGGTGGCAGCCGCCGCTCGAGTGTTGTTGATCCTCGCTGAGGCAGGCCTGAAATGCTGTGTACAGGCCTCCGGCCCGTTCTGAAACGCGGCGCACTTGCAGGCCCCTGCAGTGCAACCCTGGACGCGGGGCCCTGGCCCGAGAGAGGTACAAGGACTGCCCAGCAGGGACCTGAAGATGATTTAGGGCTCAAGGTGCTGCTTTCTAAGGGAGGATGCAAGTGACTAGTAAATTGAAGGCGGTGCTTCCTGCTTCTATGGCACCCTTTGCCTAGTTAGACGTATAAGTAGGTTGTCAGGTCTTTGGAGTCATGAGGTAAGGTCAGATTGCTGCGCACTCAGAACACTCGTGTTGTCTTCCGTGGCGTAAGTCAACGACACGGGAATCACTTGATATCACTTGCAAGTGAAGCGGAAGTACCATGTAAGTAACAAAGCAGCATGTAACCACGATATAAGCACCGTGCAAACGCAATGTAAGCACCATGTAATAAGAACCGAAAGCGACATGTGAGTACAGTGTATACACCATCTAAGCACCATGTAAGCACAATGCAAGCACCAGCTAAACGCAATGTGAGCAACACGCAAGCACTTTGTAAGCACCGTGTCATTAAGATCGTGTAAGTACTATGTAAAGTAGCTCACCCCCTATGTTGGGGAACGCGTGGTTTCGAACACCCCGACTGATGAAGACGTCAACTACTGCACGCGTGCGCAGACACCTTGTCTTACATGTGAGTCTTGACTGACGGAGCTGAAAAACAACTTTGCTTACGCTCCAACGACACAAGATTACCGGTCACCAGCAGCTGGCTTGGATCTTACCTGAGATGGAAAACCCAGGGTGCTTTTCCAAAGGCTCCAACGTGCAGGCCGCACCTGGACAGTCTTCGGGCAGCCGCTGTGAACGCGCACAGCCCAGAAGCGACGCCGCTGCCGCGAGTGACGATGCTTTGCCATGCAAGCAAGCCGTCCCAAACACTACTCCCACGCTTTTGTGGGAGCTCAGGTGGCTGTAGCTAGCTGTCGCAGGCATGTTCGGGATAAACGATAGCATACCTCCACTTCATAGTTCTGACTCAGCAGCACAAACCAAATAAGTTCTGGTATGCTTTAAACCTTTCCGACGTTAAGTATTTTCAAGTGTGGGTACGGTACTGCAGCTTTGCAACGCTGCCACGGCGGAGAACAAGCACTGGCCACAGGAGAGCATTATCCAGCACACTCAGGTCATTGAGTGTTGCACACAGACCAGCGTGCTCCAGTTCGTTTTGCTACTGACTGCTGCTGGTAGCTCATGCTTGCCGGACTCAGTGCAGGTCGACGGCCACAGGAGCAGAGAGCATCTGCGGGGTGAAGCTAGTCTCCTCTCCCCTGTCGAGCCGTGGTTGCAGGCTCTTCAGGCTATACAAGTAGGGCACAATGCCGGCCATCGTCGATATCAGTGCGGGAAGCGGTGCAGGTCCCAGCATGGTCTTGCTGCCGCCTTCTGCTCCATCGTGTTCGGCACCGTGAAGCACATCGTGCGCAGCGTCGACCGACTCAGAAGGTTTCATCAGATTTTATAGCCCTCGTTTTGGACGTTCACCAGGCAGCGCTCGCGAACCAGCTGCTGCCAGTCCGGGTCGGTGACGCAGTTTTCTTCCAAGGCGCCCAGGAGCTTTTGGAAGTCAGGGGGCAGTGGGGCAAAGGCACTCACAGGGCCCTCCGGGCTTTTGGCGCGCAGGGCCAGGCAGTGCAGTGGCAGGCGTTGGCACCAGGCAGATAGGGTACCTCCGTACTTCACGTCTCCCACCAGCGGATGGCCAATATGTGCCATGTGGCAGCGAATCTGATGAGTCCCTCGGAATTCCAGGGCACAGTCTGGGGTGTTCCCGAAACGACTTAACAAATCTAAGAAGATTGAGCTGGGCCACTGCCAGTCCGTGGGTACACAAGAACCAAGGAGCAGCCTCGGACCACAACGGCAGGTCATGTGGGCTCACAATAGCACAACCTCTGTCACCCTGCGCCCTGCGCCTCGTCCTGTCGAATGCCACAGTAGCTCAAACTTGCTGCTCGCCGCCTTCGCCAGAAGCTTGCACAAGTCTGCTCCCCTTCCCGGCCACAACCCAGGAATTTCCGCTTCATGACTCCAATTTCGCTCCTTGCCTTGCCCTCCGGGTCCACGAAAGCCTTGTAGCGGCTGCCGCCACCTGCCTCCAGGAGTCCGAGGCTTGCCTGGATCTCGCCCTCAGAAGGCGCCGCGCCCTCCACCAATGCCACGTAGCACTTGCCCACCTCCGAGACCAGTGGGGGGGGGGGAGGGGAAACATGCGCACACTTTAAGGCTGTGTTAAGCCCAAGTCATTCAGCAGACTCTTGCCGAACCTTCGCCTCTGCGAACTGCTGCGTGAAGACTTCAGCACAGGCGTTCGACAAGGGTATGAGAAGGCAACCGCTTGTCTCCTCCAAGGGTTCGAGATCCGGCGTGTTCGGCAGCTACAGGCATCTAGGTTGGGCTGGCCTCCTCTACCCTTTCTGGAAAGGGAATAGACACACTGTGCTGGCCGGCACGGATTCGAGTTTAATAAAGTCTACCACTCTCTCGAACAGAGTCACAGACACAGACACACGCAGACACACACCACCGCCAACCCCATACCCCCACACCCCAACACCCACCCCAACCCCCTCACACCCACCCTTAGCAGAAACAAATTTTGCCTGAACAGTTACAATCAATCCACACTACATTGGTCGATATTGGTTTAAACAGTGCACTGCTGTTGCTGGTACAATCAAATATCAAATTATAGTATATGACATATTGGACTACAACTACTCTTGTACTTGTGTCTATGGTATGTACTTAAACCGCCATAATGTGTGTATGGTGACCACTCAATCTGAACGAAACCTGACCATGACTTGCGCCATTTTTGAATGAACATTTTGGATATATACATCCAGCCTTAATGGAATGGATCAAAATCAATGTGTCTCATCATTGTCAACGAACATCCACGCACGTGCTTGCCTTGTCCAGTCGAGACACCAGCTGAGCATCAGAGCCCAGATCTTGGGCGAAGCCTTTCGAGGATCGCATCTGGCACAACGTTTCAGGCACTCGAACCCTTTAGAGTCTTTAGAGTACCAGTTGAATGCCAATTACCAAAAAAAGCACTACATTCCTATTTTACACATATTACATCAGATTACGACATGCGGCATGGACACTCGACTCTTAAGCAGACCAACCGAGAGGCGGAGGGCATCTTCTGTGCGAAGACCGCTGGGCTTGTCCAAAATCACATACCTGGATAACCCTAATTTCCCTAACCAAGGCTTGAGCGCCTTGGGAGTTAAGGACTTCTTGTCTCAAGCAGCAATTGCGAAAGGGCTGCACCTCCAAGATCTTTGCATGCACAGTTTGAGGATATTTTGGGCCGTTCTCTTGGAACTTCTGGGAAGCATGAGGATGCTTCAGGTGCTACAGCTGGCCACACTCGTTCTTGAGATTGGCGTTGGAAGAGGCGAGACAGTGGCCGAATGATGCAAGAAGTTTGTTCCTGAGCCTGCAAGCAGATACCACCCGAAACCGCATGGCCGCCCTCGGGGGGGCTCGCATGAGCTCCCACAGCTTGAGCAACCTAGCACCGAAACCTGAAGCTTGCCAGCAACTGCAAACGAGACCTAGGACCTCAAACGGTCCTCCCCGGGAAAACCCACGGTGTGTTAGAACTCTGGCAGAGAAATTGGAGGCGCCCCACAGACCGATGAGCACCAAACCCGAACGATAGCCGATTTTACCCAATGATCCTCATCCTCTAATGCCCCTAACATGCAGAGCTGGCACTGGGGTCGTCGGCACAGCACCGTCGGCACCTCTGACGGGCGCAGAGTGGGCCTCGGATCACCCAGCTCCTCCACACTGGCGTAGAGCTCCAGGCCTTTGCCTCCGGAAGTTTCTTGAGCGTCCCAAGAGCCGCCCGTTAAAGCCAATGTTGTGCGGAACCAGCCCTGGAACCTTTCGAACCTATGAGTCTAAACTGCACCTCTCGTTTTCAACGACGGGGCCTGTGATGATGCAGGGTGCCCAGAAGGAAGCGTCTTGGGCTCCAACGACAGCGGGTCCGAGCTGGTCTTCGCAGCTCTTTAGGCCTTCCAGGTCTCCACTACCCGCAAGTGTGAGAAGGGAATCCATGGGCAGCAACCTCGTCATCAGTAGCTGCCTGGCAGGGTTTCAGCCAAGGTGAGGTTTGACACTGTCTACACAGTTTGGACGTTTTGGAACTTTTGGTTTGGCTCCGGTTTCTGCGCCTCATGGGCTCTTGGCTCAGCTGCACTCGGCGCTTCGTCATCCTTGCTGCCAGCAGTGCAGCACCCTCGAGGGCAGGTCTCCACCGTGATAAGATGTTAATATTTGTCATGAAGTTCTCGTCCAAGAGCTTGAACAGGGGGATGCCCACCGACACCAGCAAAGGCGAACCCTCGATAAGCACCGGAAAAACAGAGTCGGAGGAGTGGGGTTGGGTTCGTGGCTCACCCTTGCCATGTGCCTGAGTCTGCCTGAGTACGTCTATAGCATTGTCTGCCAGGAAAGCAGGTGATTCGCAGAGCAGCTTCTCAAGAATCTTCCAATCACTCAATAGTTAATGTTAAGAGGTTCAAGACCATCCAGTTCTCATACATGCTTCGAAGATGCTTTGCACTTCAGATGGCACTGAAGAAGTCGCAACAGCGCAGAATTCACCAGGTTCAGCTGTGTGAGCTTGCCCCTGGTGTTGTACTCAGCCAGCAGCGGCTCGGGCACGTGCTTCAAGCCGTAGAATTCTGCCTCCGGGTGACGGGATGCGCAAGCCTTCTACAACATGCTCATGTATAAGCCGTGTTGACTCTGCATCTGTGTTGCAGCCGGAGGTGCAATTGACTGGACATCTGGATTGTCTGGGGAGATCAGCACATAGCGGTTGTTCTGATTCCTGACATGATGCAGGCGTGGCTGCGCCACCTGCGTTTGGGGGGCACGTGCATGCAAGTCCTTGCTCTCCAAGGAATCTGCGGATCCGCTTTGAGCTTCGGCGGTACTTCCAAGGGAAAGGAGCGGTGCACCCGCTTGGTGAACACTGCAACGAAGAAGCCGGAGCCATCGATCTCATGCGGATTCCTGAGCTCGGCTTTCAAACGTCCAGCAGATGCTTAGGATGCTGCTTGTCATAGTTGCCTCGTGGTCGCCCTACTGACCCTACTGTGCACAAAAGCTTACTCTAGGGACTTGACTAATTGCAACAGATCCTGCTGTGGCCCTGCATGGTCCACGAGTCTCTCGACCAAGATCCACTCAACGATGTGGGGCCATCCAAGAATGCTGGAGCTAAGCAGCTAGTCCCGAGTACCAAATACGTGAGTGCCTGCATTGCTAGGGGGAAAAGAGGTCTCGGTGCATGAAAGGCTCAAGCGGATGCAGGTTTCACATGCCTGCTGCGCCGTCTCTGCTGGAAACATGGTCTGGCAAATGGGCCCTTTGGGCTTGCGCAGCTCGATGGGGACTGCTTCCCAACGATCGTAGAAGACTCCTTGCGGAAAAGTCTGTGTTGAAGGGGATGGCGGGCCTAGGCCGAAGCCCTATGAGCCCTCTGATAGCTCTTGGCCATGTGTGTCCTTCGAGTTGTCCAGCTGGGACTCGCCAGGTTTTAAGCCCCCGAGCTACTTTGAGCCCTGCTGCCACAGGCGCCGCAACGGCGTCAGGCACCTGGAGCCCAGTAGCCTATAAGTAGCCCCCCGATAAGAAGCCGAGAGGCGTTTTGGGGCGCCAAATGCTTGGGCGAAGCTGATCTGCTAAAGTCAGGGCAAGCCACAAGCGCCACGTCGTCCCCATAACGGGCCAGAGCTGCTGAAACAACTGCCTGGGCAAGGCGGTCATGAAGAAGAAGATGCAAATTATGGAATGGCATTGCTGCTAATTCTGCCAGCGTAGACCCCGAACAGTGAAAGACCATGGGAGCCCAGAAGTCTGAAAGCTATGGCAGCTTCGCATTGCGTTAGCCAGCCCACACGTCCAAACAGTTTCGCATTTCGCGAGCCCACACGTCCAAAAGAGACGACAGTTTGTATTTCGCGAGCCCACGTGTCCAAAAGCGACAGTTTCGAGGACGGCCATGCTGCGCGCCCAAGTGAGAGCGCGCTGTTCATCCAAGACATACGAACAGGCCTGCGGGCGCGTCGGCCACGGGGACCCCAGCTCGGACAGCGACCGTGCTCCACGTTGGGAACCCCTTAGTGTTGAGACGCTGTTGGGCGACTTTTTCCTGGTCTCCACACCAAATATTACGGCGCAGATCATGCAAGATCATGTCCAGAGGAGCCACATGCTGTGCAATCTCTCAGAATCTCTCAGCCATGGAGTGGCTGTGGGCTTTGCCTCGTTCTCCAGCGGGTTCAGGCTGCAGGTCGAGTAGACGAGGCGACCACCCGGCTTGAGAAGATGAAGCCCGCGGCACAAGATCTGAAGCTGCTTACTGTGGAGGGACATCCCCGACTCCTCAGCGGACTCTTGCACCGGATCCACTGGAAGCTCATAAAATTTTGAAGCCGGCACCCAAAAAACCCTACACTGCCCTACGTCCCCTAATGAGAAGCCTCGGCTCCACGGACCAGGTCTTCCAGCATTGTGGTCGTTTGCGCAGAGTGCCGTCCCCGGAGCAAGGGACATCGCAAAGGATCCGGTCATACCTCAACAAACAGGCCACAGATGTTCACAGAGCTCGGAGGTTGGCAATTTTGCAAGAAGAAGCAGGAACCCCGAAATCCAGAAAGTCTACGTCTACGTCAATCCGAGACCCTCCGCATGAAAAGCCCAGGTGGCAGGAGTTGCTCGCCGGAACGAACAAACTGCGCTGGGTATTTGCCAGCGCTTCCCAGGGCCTCATCAGATCACCAAAACCCCTTCAAAAGGGGGCAAAACAGCACGATGACACTCCCGAAAGCTGGCGTTTGTCTTCTACCTGGCTGTCCCTCCTGTTGTTCTCCTTCTCCTTCTTCTTCTTCTGGGCTGGCTCTCTTTGTCACAAGCAGGGAAAAAGGGGGCCGGGGACGTGTACCAGGGCGGCCTGCCCAGGCAGCAGCCACCCTCACAACCCAGAAAAAAAATCTGGGGTTCCAATCGCTCTTTATGCCTGGCTTTAGATGGCGAGGGCGGCACAAGTTAGACAATCCTACAACTGTGTATGAGAGTGGTAGCAAGGCAAGGCTTAAGAATGTGTAGGGGGCATCGCACCCCACGAAGGCTGAGCCCAGGGCAACGGCACAGCCTGGGTGCCGGGCCTGTCATTCGGTGAGGAGAGAGCGGGGAAAGGAGCGAGGTTGAAGACACAGACTACCTGCCACGCTATGTACTCTGAAGCAACTCTTTGTTGCTGTTAGTGGTGGCTTTGGTGAGTTCAGAAAATGTAGGGTTCCTGGTAGAACTTGGTAGAAGTTGGTGAGTGTTTATACGGGGTGTCCTTTTGGGGATGTGATACGAGCAATAGACACCCCACTTCCACATGCCCACAGACCACCATGCACCTTGCGGGTCACCAGCGGCAGCAGCTCGAAACACCGCTCGGCGTCGGCATCGTTGGCAATGACGACTGCGGCGTCCTGTCACCGTTTCTTGCCGATTTCTCGTACTTGTCTTCTGCGGTTCGACTCAATGACTCGGCTCAATGCCAGCCCCCCTCAAGCCAGTCACCTTCAGAGCTGACGGCGACTCCGACTCTGCTTCGCGCAGGAGCTCGATGCACTCCAAGGTCTTGCTGCCTGCGCTTCGGAAAACGGCTCGACTTGGCTGAATGTGCACTTTGATTGTGAAGGGTTCGTGTCAAGTCCCTCCAGCCTGGTGCAGCACACATGTCGAGAACCAAATCTCCTGGCTGAACCTCTTCATGTCACATGGCGCGCTTGAGAATTGTTTTGAGTTCCCTTATACTTGCCTCCAGCAGCAGCGGAGGCAGCAAAGAAGCACTCTCCTGTAAACCATGCCGCGCTAAACGCTTTCAGGTTCAGGGTGCCGACACGGAGTCTCTTGGGGAAGGGTTTAAGGTACTGCCCCCAGGCGTTGCTAGATGGCGGTTGAGGAAGTTGCTGGAGTTTCGCTGGGGTCAACCTTGCAGCCATAGTTGGGAGACGACTCTCGAGCAGGTGCATTTACCTTGGACACAGGGACCCTTTCTTTCAAACTGCATGGAAAATCCTGGACAAACTAGGCACTTTTCACTTCCAGCTCCTGGAAGCGAAGCGAATATGCCTTGTTGAGGCGAGAGCACTGCGTCCGCAGTGCATCGTCGAAGTCCTCTCCAGTCGAAGCTAAGTGCAAGAGAATTGGCTCTTTTGCAGCCTCCCACCTGGGCACTGCACTCCCAAGCGTAGGGGAACCAAGGCAAAGGCAGCCAGCGGAAGTCTCTTGCAAATGCGTCGTGCAACTCCTTCCAGGGGACTACGGGGGCTCTGAAGATCTCTGAAGGTCACGAGCCACAATGCACCTCTACTTTCCGTCATGCGGCTGTCTTTGCTTAGGGCTCTTGAAGCAGGGAGGCGGTCCTGCCAGTGAGGCTTCGTGCGGTTGATCCGGACCACCACGGGCATGGGCTGTCGGAGGGTGTCCAGAAACTCATCCCAGGAATCCTGTTCCCACGCAAGAGTGGAGAAAGTGGACATGATCGCATGCACCACGCTCTCATGATCTCTCATGCGCTCCCCTTTTTGGACCACACTTGCCTCTCCCACGACTTTCTGCTCCCTGTAGTACTCCTCCATGGGCAAATAGACTTGCGTTCTCGGGATAGTGGTGGTCCCTTTTCGGGTCCCGAGATAAGTTGCCCGAGGGGGACGATCCCAAGATTTGGAGAACCAGTTGTCGTGTTCCAGGCAACTGTCGAAGGTGCGAAAAGTTGTGATTCTGGTCATGTAGTGCAAACGCTTGGACTGTGCAGAACAGCTTTTCTTGACAGGAGAGTTGCAAACACATGGCGCTCTCGGCGTTGTCGTGTTAGCCTGAGGCACCTCTTGGCTATTTTATTGGGCGCACAGTTTTTGTCGTTTAGATTTGGCTTACAGGAGCCTGTATGTCGCAGGTGGGCCAAAATTCTCGATCAACGTTGTGTTTGAGCGATGGTCCCTGTACCGGGTTGTATCTCCCTTCAACCCAGTGGCAATGGCTCGGCCGCACAATGCTCCATACCGACATCAAGCCGCCACCTGTAAAACTTGAATCAGGTCTGCATCACCCGCTTGCAACTCCTCGAAGTCCTTATTGCGCGTGTTCTCCGGGTTCTCCGGAGCCTGCCAGAAGAAGGCACACCGGTCCAAGCTCGGGTCTCCCCAAGAGCCCCACCTCATTCCCTGCATACCTTTACGAAAAGAATACTCTGAACGCAAGGAAGCATAACAATAATGATCAACAGTCCATCTCCATGTCCCCATATCCCCCTCTCTCTCCCTCTTTCTTTCTTTCTATCTTTCTTTCTTTGGGGCATGGCCCCGTCTGTGGCTCAGTTCTCGCTAACGCTCTCTCCCTCTCTCTCTCTTCTTCTTCTTCTTCTTCTTCTTCTTCTT